CTGGGGACTCCAGAGGGCGCTGGACAAGTCCCCAGACCTGCGTGAGGACATGGCCAAGGCCCTCACGCGCCCTGGGCCCACCCAATCACTTTGGCCATGCCACCTGCACAGCCTTCCAGGTCTACCGCAACAAATGGTTGTAGCCCACTTACGGCCAGATATTTCTGCAATTTCCGACATTTTTTTTTCTTCATGAAATTTGTATATAGCAAAAGCTGGGTTTGCTTTAGGCAGAGCATATGCTTCATATTTATTGGAATAAGTTTTCTAGTTCCTTAGCATTCTGTTCACTGATATTCCGTATGTTAAAAATATCTCCGCTTTTTCCCCTGATACTCAGTAGTAGGCAGCCACAGTTTTCCTCTATAGTTTTTCTGGGTAGAAACCAGAACCCGCTCTCCACAGCCCGGGGGAGTATTCGATACCTTAGGCGAGGATGACCTGATTTCCCACCCATTTCTTACTCTCCCCCGGTTTCCCGGATACCGCTATCAGGCAGCCTGCTTCCAGGGATCGAAGACCCTTATTTTTAGAAAGGAAAAAGCTAAGGCCCCTCACTCAGGGATTCTGAATTCTGCAGTCTATAGTGTGTCCTGTGTAGGAAGCATAAAGAAGAGGATGTGAACACTTCAATGAGTTGGGGACTCAAGGAGTATGCAAATAAGCAGCAGGTGCACTCTTCCCAGGAGGAATAGCCGTAATCCCCTCGGGACTGTCACATGCTGAGCCCACAAGTATAACAGCCTCTGTGATTTCCCAGAGGTCCAACGGGGAGGCCATCTTCCCTGCTGAGTCCCCAAGAGACACAGGGAACTACTATTTCAGCAATGGGAAATTGATTTTTATGACAACTCCAGCAATAAGTGAATAAGCCAGAACTATCCACACTTGAGAAACAGTTTTTGGAGTTAAAATGGTAAAAATCAATATCCAAACTCATATGTGTGTGTATACATAATATACACATACATAATGTGTGTGTGTGTGTGTGAGAGAGAGAGAGAGAGAGAGAGAGAGAGAGAGAGAAACACGGAGACAGAGAGAGAGACAGAGAGAACGAGATGGTTGGGCCGGGCTGGGTGGAAAGAGAACAAATCACACATTGGAGCAGATCTCAGTTGAATATGCCCCTCATTTGCTGGGAGAATGGATAGACAATGGAGCTGCCAAGGCCAAGGCTATTCATTTACTGGCCCCAACAGCCCCTCAGAGATCTCCTGGGAAGACCCTCCCCAACAAAACCCATTTATGTGAATGACTGCAGCCTGTGGCCTTGTCTGAGCCAGGAACCTTCCAGAGTTGTCCGGAGCTACGTGTCATGGCATCATAGACCCACTGGCAAATCAGGTGCCCAACCTGGACCCTGACCTATCTTCTCTGGGCCTAGCCTCAAAGAGATTCTGTAAGCAGACCAAACTTATAAACTCCTTATGTTTCAAATATTCTTTTGTAAGCTGATTATCTTTCATTTAAAATGCCTCTTCTGACATAAACAACACATTTGTTCATTCACTCAACACTTGTTTACTGAGCGGGTGCTATCCCAGGTACTGGGGACACAATGGTGAAAAACAGACATAGAAGTTACAATCTCGGATCAATCCATAAAAACCTATTTAATCAATAATAAAGACAAACTAATTTTTGTGTGTGGTAGAATTACATTCTGAGCTCCATCTTGGGCTACCTGGAAAATAGCATTCCTTGCCTTGGCAATCGCAGCTGAAATTCCCACCTGGTCCCTAAGCAACAGCAACCATAAGTAAGAAGTGCAGAAGCCAGTATCTGTTGCGTGCCTCCTGTATGTCTGGCTGTGCTAACACTTTACATACATCTATGGGATATGGCTTTATGAGGTAGACACAATTGCTCTCATTTTACAGATAAAGAATCCAATTCTCAAAAGCTAACTTTAGTTGCTTAAGGTCATAGAGTTAGCGACTAAGCTAGAGTTTGAGCTCAGGCTGCTGGCACCAAAGCCCATGTTCCTTCTTCGGTTCATCAACGGACTGCCTCAGTTTGGGCTTTGGGCCAGAGAGGTGGGGCAGCTTGGGAAGGTGAGGACAGAAGGCACCTCTCCAGGACTTTGACTGTGGTGGGGGGCAGGGGAGGGGGGCACAGGGCCACAGGGAAGTGAAGCGTGCAGATGTGTAGATTATTCCTACGTCCGTGGTTCTGAAATCAAGCTCTGAGAACACCAGCCACTTTCCCTGACGTGGCTTGTGTCTGTGATGCACCCTGCTTACCCGCCCTGGAATCCTTAAGATTGACCATGTATTTAAGTTACCAAGACTCCACTGGAACGAAGAACGTTTTTCTTCCACTGTGTTTTCTGGGGGAGATGCTGCTGGAGACAGGCAGGAGGAAGCCAGAGCGTGAGTAATGAAAAGAGTCGCTTATGTAATAGGAAACCACACAGTCTAGGCCACATGGACCACTCTGGGAGTCAGGGAGCCAGGATTCCAGAGTTCTGTTCCAAGATCTACCACACTTGGATCTGTCCCCTTGAGCAAATCGCCCACACCTCCCATTTTCCCCCATGTAACCTTGACAGAAGGATGATCTTCCTCCCATTTCCCACTGAGAGGCCGCCAGGGGAATGCCTATAGCACTGGAGCTGTGTAGCACTCTGAGTGACATCCTTTTGTCTCTAACCCCCAGCCAATGCCTCTCACCTTTGGGTGCTCACTTTTCCATGGTACTCCACAAGGGTTGTGCTCCGCGCCCCCCCCCCCCCCCCCCAGCCATTGGTCTCTCCAATGCCTTTAGACTTATTTGATGCACCTCAGACCTTTTTCCCCCAGGGCCCCAGTAAGGTTATCACGGCTTCTAATTATCTAGCTGTGTACAAAGGATTGCCAACAGCAGCTTTGACTTAAAATGGAAAGAGTCTTGGCCTGGTGAGCTGTTTCCTAGCACCACTTCTGCCACTAATTAGATCTGTCTTGGGAAAGTCACTTACCTCTCTGGAACTCGGTTTCTTCATTTTTAACAGAAGGGGATCGAGCCAGATGTCTCTACGAGTTCTTTGCAGTCTCCTGATTTTGATCCCCTTACCTAGGAACCGGATCCTGTTTTACAGGTATCCTCCACTTTCTGAAAGTTCGCCTTCCACCACTTTGCTTTTACCAAAGACATATCATAGCACCTGTTTTCGCTAATTGAAAGAAATCCAAAGAGGATTTTCGCTTTTATGACAAAAGGCCAAAAGCGAAAATAGTGTTGCGTGTTTGTTCCAAAGAGGCAGTGCACGCATCCGTGCCCCCAAACAGTAAGCGCGACCCCACCAGAGCTTTGACGTGTGTCTGCGAGCAGCTAGCTTTATCTTGATTTATGTTGTGCACCCGTCAGCAAGATGTGTCCTAAGGTATCAGAAAGTCCTAAGAGAGGTTATTTTTGGGGTCTGCTACTGCTAAAAAATGTTCCGTATAAATTAACATGTAATTGCTTCTTTGCAATTTATACCATTTTGTACCATTTCGATTTAGGAATGGTTTCTTAGGAAAGCTCTACTTTTGGATAGCGGGGGAAACCTTACTTCCTTTTTTTTCATGACCTTAGGAATGACAAGACTCCGTGGCCTGATTGAAACAAACACACAGAAAGAGGCACACAAATCCAGGCCCTTCCTCAGTCACGCACCTAGTTAGTCCTCTAGCGTCAGGCTCTGAGAAGCACCGGTTCCAACCACTGCCATGGTCTATCTCCCCTACCCTTGCACCTGCTCCCCAGCACCTCTGCCCCCATCCAGTTCCTGGAGAGTTTCTTCTGTGCAGCAGGTGCCCACCAGACAGCCACTCCATGACATTAGAGGACGACGCTGTGAGAGGAGACTTGCCCCTTGCCCAGCCATCCACATCCCAGCCTTGGGACAGCTCTGCTCTGCTCCACACGCCCTGCGTGGGTTGGTTCCTGTTGCTAGGAGAACCTGACCATTTGCATTTCCTGCTGTTTTTATTTTAGATTAGCAGCCGCACTGCTGCAGGAACACAGGGTATTTTAAGAAAGACAGAAAAGGGAAGGGTGAGGGGAGCACCTCACATGGGATCTCCTTCCCAAAGGCATCCAAAACACTCAGAAGCCACCCATCCCAGACCCAGGCCCCATCCAGGCCTCTTTCTTGCACTTCCCGGAACAGCACCGTCTCCCAGTGCTGACACCTTTACAAGCATTGTCAAGCTATCCGGGAGCAAAACAACAGTCTTCTTCTTCTATGCCTAAAAGATTAGGCCATGTAACTCAACCTAACACACACAGAGCACCAGTGTCCCCATCTTAGATGAAAACCTCTAGATTCTGGTTCAGTCAGTTAAGCATCTGACTCTTGATTTCGGCTCAGGTCATGATCACACGGGCTCTGTGCCTGCAGTGTGGTGCCTGCTTGAGATTCTCTCTCTCCCTCTCTCTGTACCCCTCCTCCACTTTCACATGCATGTGTTCTCTCTCTTTCAAAATAAATAAACATGAAAAAAATTTTAAGCCACTTCTAGATTCCTATAAGGATTTCCAACTCTGTCAAGACACCTCGTCTCCAAAGATGGCTTATGTTTCCTCCTTTCCCTTGCCACTTCTCTCCAGGCCTGCCTTAAAGATGGAGGCTTGGCTTTTCCTTCAAGACCTCACAGAAATCAGTGTTACCTTCTCTTTTAGGGTTCCCAAACCCAATTCCAATGGTGGGGGGGGGGGGGGGAAGGGAGATCACACACACACACACACACACACACACACACAATGCCAAGCAATTCTCAGATAGCCTGCTGGTGTCTGAGAATTCGACTCAATTCTGATGCTAACTACCCAGAGATAACATTAGATTCCACAGGTTAAGGGTTCAGTCCTACAAGACTGTCCCCCATCCCCCACTTAAGATAACAGTCACAAGCCCCAGGCTGTTACTTTTGCTTCTGGCCCACCAGCTACAGATTGGAGGCTCCAATGACCTCATCCCTAGGTTTGATTAATTTGCTAGAGCAGCTTACAGAACCCATGGAAACACTTACTTACATTTACCAGTTTATTACAGGATATGATAAAGGATGCAAATCAACAGCCAAATGAAGGATGCAGAGTGAGATCCTGAACAAAGGAGCTTTGTCCTCAAGGAGCTCAGGGCTCTGCTCAGTTGCATGTGGAAGCATTCTGGTTCCCCAAGCATGGAAGCTCACCTAAAAAGAACCAAAATATTGTCTTCTTGGGTTTTTATGGAGGCTTCATTACATTGTCATGATTGACTAAGTATTGCCTATTGGCCGATTCAACCTCCAGCCCCTCTCTACTCCCAGAGGTTAGAGGAGGGAGATGAAAGTTCCAAGCCTTTAATCACAGGTTGGTCCTCCTGGCAACCAGCCCCCGCCCTTAGGTGGGGTCCAAAAGTCACTTGCATTTATAACGAGACACCGTTTCACCTCATGGCTCTGAAATGTTTTCAGAAACTGTGGATGAAGACCAAATACAGCTGATAAATACATTTTGGTGATGTGAATGACCAAAGATGTATCATATCTTATATGACATATATATATATCATATCTCAAAGATATGATATATATATTTCATATAAGATATATAGCTTACAAATCACCGATTTATAAATGTAAATTGATTTATAAATCATATGTGTGTATATATATATATATATATATATACATCTTATAAATCATTATATTGAACCTTCTCAGATCCCCTTTTGTTCAATTAATCTCTCCCTCCCAGTTCTAAAAACACCTGCATCTTATCACCACGATTTGTTTCAGATCATTAATCTATTCTTCTGTCTTGCCCACAAGAGTGTTGAACTCCTAGAAGGCGGTGTCTTTGCAATTTTTGTTTTTCAATCCCCTTCTTACTGCTAGAATATTTGCTCACAATAGATGTTCATTAACACTTTTAAAATTTGTTCAGCCCCATCAGGCATGTATTGAGCCCTACCAGGACTTACACACCATAAGTAATCAAGAAACATTCTCTATCATTTAGGAGCTCTTGTCCCCGGGGAGGAAGACAAGAAAACAATTTTAAACAATGTGATGAATGTTGTAATAAAAGTATGTCCAGAATTGCAAGAAGTTTCCTGAGGCAGGGGTAAGGGTGGGGTGGAAAATGAGCAAGAAAAATCAGGAACGGTTTCATGGAGCTTACTCTTGAAGAGGGATTAACATCCACCATGGGATGGCCACTTCAATCAGGAAGAGCTCAGGTAAAGGTTCAAAGACCAAAAAAAAAAAAAAAAAAAAAAAAAGATTGAATTGAATATACAACCCAGGTGCTTGACAAGTGGGATCTCAGGCTAGAATCCACCTCTCTGACACTCACTCCACTGATCCATCCCTGATTAGCATCTGTCCTCAAGAAGTAACAATGTCCGCCCTCTCCTCAGCCACCTATTCCAGGCTGTGGGGAGCAAAATGCTGCCAGAAAGAAGATAATTATGAGACACCAAACAAAGCTGTTCCTAAACACATACCACAAAGCCCCCTGTGGAGCCACATTCCTCAGTGGGTGCTTGCTTGAACAAGCGCCCATTTAGTTAGCCTCCTTTCAACCAGCCATCTTTGCCAGAGGCTCACCCTACCAATCTCTCTTGGTAGGACCAGCCTCTGAAGACCAACTGTCAACTCACGAGGGGATGAGAGGACTCTGTGTGAACGAAGCAGGCACCCAGACGCTCAGCCTCTTTAGGCAGCTCTGTCTGGGCAGTGGGCATGCAACCTTTGGACAGATGGCAAAATCTCCTCCGCCAAATCCGCGATTCTTGACCTTTAGTGAGACAGAGACTGCAGCAGAAATTCCTAGTTGTCTGCCATCCTCTCCTTTTCCTTATTAACAGAAACACTGACTTTATATGAAGTCAGCCGAAAGGCCCTACTTCGCAGCCTCTCCTGCAGGTGGGTATGGACATAAGATGGAGGTGAATAGCTTCCTAACAGGGGGACAGAAAAAGGGAGTGGATCTTTTTGGCCCCCCTCTGCCCACCCCCTCCTCTCTTCCACTTCCTGCCCAGAAGATAGATGTTCATCTAAGTCTATCTAGTAGCCATCTTGAGCTATGAGGTGACCTCAAAGGTGGGTACCACATGCTGAGGATGATTCTACAGCTCTGACAGAAATTCACTACTGTCCCCAAAAAGCTGTTTGTGTGTGTATACACAGTTTTGCAAACGATTTCCAGGGTTTGGGGAGCCTTGACGCCAACGCATTGGACCCCAGGTTAAAAGAACCTTGCTTTAGACATGTGGGGAGAGCCCGCTCTACCGCGGCTGCTTAGATTATTCCCGTTCCAGTGGGGGGAACCTAGGATTGTGTTGTGACCATGTCCTCTAATAACCTGACAAACCGTCTACTTCCCTCTCCAATTCCAGCACCAGTACCTCCCCTGCCTCATTCCTCTTAGGGGTTTTAACGCAGGGCCACCCATCTCTCCCTACCGCCCCTTCTTCGGCCTCCCCACCTATTCTCCCTGGGCTGCCAATCCCAGTCCAAAGTCACTTTATACCAGGAAGGAAATTAGCATTTGTGTTGGGACAAAAAGTGACACTGCTCAGCTCTCCTTGTCATTCTGCTCTTAATTAATATTTAACCTCAGAGATTGTGTAGCAGACGGAAGTGGCTGACGGGAGAACACAGCCAGAGCCCCGTTCTCCTTCTCAACACTGCCTCCCCTACTCCCAGCTTCCCTCCCTGTGCCCCGGAGCCCAGAGGGCCCAAGGGGAAGTGACGAGGAGTGGTACTGGACACCCCTGAGTCCCTCGATTGTACTTTATGGATGTACTTTCTCGGATCTCTTGTGTAAGCAACCCTTCTGCAACAAAATGGGAGCTGCTGGAACTCAGAACTGACTCCCAGTGCCCAGAGCTAGACCCAGGGCCTAGCCTGCCCAAAAGGACTAAGAGACAGGCAAGGGGAAAAGAAAAGCAATGCAAATGTGCCCCTCAACAGATTCCATTTAATGCACTATTTTTAGTTGCCTTCAATCCCTCGGGGTTGTCAGGGCGGTTGCAGCCCCCCTCCCCCGGGGAGAGGAAATGACAGGCATTATTACCCAGCCCAGAACACTGGTGCAGTGCGTGGTGGGGGGGGGGGGGGGCGGGGAGGTGCTGCCTTGCCAGCTCCAAAATTGGGGAGCTTAACTTCCAACGGGAAATTGAGGACACCAGGAAAGATCAGGCCACACACAGGAGGCCCACAGGACCCCCTCCTCTGTCCCCAGCCAGCATGCCAGACCATCTCCAAATACACGTCCACTGGGCCCAGACCAGGAGTGTGGGAGTCTCCTCAGTCCCCAAGTGTCTCGAAAACTAGGTTATACAACATCCCTCACTGCCAAGTTCTTTCTTCTCTCTAATCTTAGCCCTGCCTTCGGTCTAAGCCCATTTCCCCTTGCTCTGAATGCAGAGGCAAAGAAGGACAGCTGGTCACCATCCCCCAGCAAGGGAGCCCTTCTTTGTCCTGAAGAAAACGATTCCATTTCCTCTGGGCCTTCTGTTCTCCCACCTGAGTCATAACCTTGCCACACACGTCATGTTTTTTAGCTGATCTCCTTGTTACTCTTCTAACCCTGCTCCGATTATATCTCCAGCTTCCTCCCTGGCCCGTGATCAGACACTGGACCCTCGCCAGGGAGCCCCTGAAGATCAATTTACCGCATACTGTCTCAGAGAAGTTTGCTAAATTGACTTTGTTATCTTCCTTCTCCATAAGACTAAACTCTGTTACAGATTTCATCCTCTGCTTCTGGAACCTCCCTCACCCTCCTCTGCACCCAGCTAAGTGCAAAGCTTATAAGAAGCAGCACATACATTTTCATTGCATTTAGGTTTAAATGAGATGCACATATAATATTTTTCGGCAAAGTAGTTACCGTTTACTTTGTAAATTATACAGTGGCATCTAAGTGGTAGCTCTTACTATTGCTGTTCATGCCAGACCCCTGGAGAGTGCTTGTTTTTTTAACCAGAGCATTGCAAACCACAGCATTATATTATATTCATTCAACCAATAAACACTGATCGAATTTCTACCGCATTTCAGGCACTATGCTAGATCCTGAGACATCAGAATCAAAGACCAAGTTCTGATTCCACGGACATTCACAGCCTTTGAGGAAGATAAGATGTAAACAATTACTGAGTAGTGTGGTAACTGCTGATAAAGCACACACATGTCCCAGGGGATATACAGAAGGAAGGACTGATCACAACTCTTTACTCTCTATGATTCCACCTTGCTGGGCATTGGTGTGACCACGCATATGACTGCCAGCATCCCGTCCAAGGGTTGGCCCGGTCTCTGTTGTCCAGAAGTATTTGTAGCAATGTGAGCACATACCCAAGAAGGGCAGTGCAGAACCGTTCCACAGAATTTGGTATAAGGATAGAGAGAGATGGTCTCTTTCTTTTGTAGTTTGGGGTCTTGTCTGCAGCCTTCTCACCAATCCGAGGGTAAATCTAACCCAGAGAGACTCTGAGGGAAGCACTGCTGATAAATGGAAAGGAAAACAGAGTTCTGTAACACCATTCTAAGCCCCTGAGTCCAGCCATGCCAACTCAATCAAGTGACCCCCTAAATCCTTGTTTTTGTTTCAGTTAGCAACTCCAGAGGAAGTAAAAGCCTGGAAAGAGCCTGCAGTACCAAGAGATGGGGCTTCCTGGGGGGTGGTTGAAGGGTAGAAGGCGACTTCCATGTGTGCAAACTTAGGGTAATTTGTTTTCTTTCTTTCTTTCTTTCTTTCTTTCTTTCTTTCTTTCTTTCTTTCTTTTTTGTATTTTTATTTAATTTATTTCTTTTTAATTTACATCCAAGTTAGTTAGCATATAGCGCAACAATGATTTCAGGAGTAGACTCCTTAATGCCCCTTACCCATTTAGCCCATCCCCCCCTCACAACCCCTCCAGTAACCCTCTATTTGTTCTCCATGGTTTAAGAGTCTCTTATGTTTTGTCCCCCTCCCTGTTTTTATATTATTTTTGCTTCCCTTCCCTTATGTTCATCTGTTTTGTATCTTAAAGTCCTCATATGCATGAAGTCATATGATATTTGTCTGGGTAATTTGTTTTAATGGCTCCATGACTCTAAGACATATAGATTGAGGAGAAACTCAACTAGGGAGGAGAGGTGGTCAGATGATGGAATCTCTTTGGAGATAAACAGACTCGAGTGGAACCGCAGCTCTGTTGCCTACCCGCCGTGTGACCTTGTTCAAGGTACTTAACCTCTCTGTTTCCCCACATATTCCTTGTCTATAAAACATGGATAATAGTAATTGCTTCACTGGACTATTATGAGCATTTCCTGACTTAATGGACTGAAATAGACCTACGGTATTCAGTCAGCCTGGTCGGGAACAACTCACTTTTGTGGAACGGCTCTTCCCCACTCTGACCGAACTTCTGGAGGGCACCACCAATCATATAATCCAGCTGGCCACATGGCTGTGCCACAGGTTGGGTCAATTATAGTACTTCATTCTCCTAGCCATAGGGATTGGCGTGGGGATGGGCATGACACTGAAGTATGATCGAATCAGAGGCCTCTCCTGGGAACTTTTTAATTATTATTAACAACGTTGGGATTGAGGAATGATATTTCCTCTTTGGTTTCAAGGCTATAATGGTTTAAGTTCAAAGCTGCCTGCAGCCATATTTCCAGCCATGTGAGGATGGCAGCATTATGCAGAAAGAAACAAAGAGAAGAAATTAAAAGGGAAGAGGGTGCTATTAATATTTTATATTCCTGGATTTGGTTGTTCCTGAAGCTCCACCTGTGTCCTTGCAGTGAACTGATGCTTTTGTTAATGTAAATTGGGTTTCTATCCCTTACAACCAAGAGGATCTTGATTAATACAGCATGTGATGTCCTTCGTATGAAGCAGATGGCACATAATAAACACTCAAAATAAATATTTGGCACAGAAAGTGCTCCAAGGAAAATGGTTTGAGACCTTCCAGACTTATGAAATCTTTAATTTAAGGTCAATTCAGGAGTCCTGGCATGGATATACTGGTATACAATAATAATAAGTGCCCTTCCAGTATCCCAGAGTCTTCTGCTGATAGGTACAAAGCATTCCATTGTAGTGGTTAAAAGTCATGCCCATTTTAAAGGAGGCAACCTTCGTTAGCCAAAGGACTCATAGAGAATCTTCGTCCTAGGGATAGCTAATTAACCCTTCAGAATATCAGCCCGATGAGACAGGCAACTTCATGTGGACTACCAGCACCGTCTGCAGGAATGATGGAGGAGAGGAGCGTGTCCTGAAAAGAGCTCTGAAGTCTGTACAAACAGATTCTGGACGAATATCTACTCGTCTTTGAATCTATCTCTTTCCAGAGATAACCTTGGAGCGTTTTATTTTTACTGAAAGAAGTGGGAACTTGATTCATTGGGGGGTCTGATATGGTGGATCCCAATTCCCCTGAATAAATTTTTTTAAGTTTATTTATTTATTTTGAGAGAGAGGGTGATAGCATGAGCAGGGGAGGGGCAGGGAGAGAGGAGAGAGTGAGAATCCCAAGCAGGCTCCGCAATGCCAGCGTGAAGCCCAATGTGGGGCTCAAACCCACGAACTATGAGATCATGACCTGAGCCAAAGTCAGACGCTTTGAGCCACCCAGGCGCCCCTATCTTGAATAAGTTTATATGTTAATGACTCGTCCTTACCAAACTAAACCAGTGGTCTATTGGGTGGATGAAGATCAGCCTGTCTCCGCCATTTATAAGGAATTAAGGATGTATCACCTATAACTTTTTAAAAACCAACATAGATCAGACATCCGGCTAGAGATAAAATGCCCAAACCCGTCCAGTCCTCATCTATCTCTGGATTCTTGTCTCTGTCCTAAAGGAATTTTCCTTAATTGTCAGTAATTCTAATTATAGCCAACCCACGCACCATTCATGGGACCACTGAGAGAGGGTGATGTGATAGCAATGTCAACAAGCCAGGGACAAAGGCTTTGAGCGTGACTACAGGAACTATAAATGGTCACTTAGAATCCTACAATGGTTCCTTTAATTAAGCAGAGGGGATCTAGGGCAACCAATTAGGAAGTCAAGCTGTACAGGATCCCATACACTTGTGTCTGAATTACTAGCTATTTTAACTTAGAATTTTCAGGTCTGTCATCAAAGAATCCCTGGAAATAACTTGCACATGCAGTCCCTGTCTTGTCAGTGATAGGCGTCTTGATCTGCACTTGAACCTTTCTTGTATTATTATGTCATCTTAGGGATTCATTTGTGTAAACCTTATAGAAAGTTTGAATGATGACGGCTTAAATATAAAAGAGGGTCTTTTTTTACTTCGTGATTTCAGTATTTGACTTGCTGCATGGTGGAAAGATAGTGGATGTAGCTCCAGACTTCAGGTCTGTATTTAAGGCAGAAAGAAGGGGGCTGGTGGTGCCAGCTGCCTCTGCCTCCTCCTCTCGGGAAAGCAAAAGCTTTCCCAGAGGATTTCTCAGCAGAAATTTGCTTATATCTTATTGGCCATATCTGGGTCTTGTGACCAGCCCTAGCTGTCATAAAAGCTGAAGTGGGAACAGACTTAGACTGATTATGGCACCATGTCAGGTCCGGACCCATGACTGCTCGCAACAAAATCGCAGTTCTGTTAGCAAGCAAGAAGCGGAAATGCGTAGATATTGGCTAGGAAGCCAATAGTATCTGCCATGATGGTTTTCGTAAGATCTATACACATCCTCACATAGTTTCCCAAATGTGGAACTTTCCTGCTGTTATGATCTGACATATGTTTAGCAAATCATAACATAGCATAACTCCATGACGCTGTTCCCAGTAGAACAACAAACGTTCTTTTTTAAGGACCAGGCTTTATAGTCTTTTGCTTCTGAAGAATATCTATGACACAGGATTGTGTCTACAGTATAGATCTTTGACTCTGTCTTCTGCATATATGTGAACACTGAATACAGACAGAAAGACTACTTAAATACCTTAAGGCTTCAAGGTCAAAAGGACAGGGTAGTTTTACCTGGCATGCCTTCTATCTAAACAGCAGGAACATTTCCACTAACAAACAGCCCAGTCCCAAAACAGCTCATGTTCCAGCACTCTCCACTCACCCCACTCCAACACACAATCCCACGGCAGGCAAAGCAAAAATAACAGAAGTATATCAACCCCAAATAACTACCAGTGCTTACCTCGTTAAACTCAAATGCTCCATCCAAATTACAGAATAACAAAAGCTTGTAGTTAATAATCCCTTACTTTCAGTGCTTCCATCTGACCAAAAAAGAAAAAAATTCAAGCAAAACAAACATCACTTTCCAAGGTTAGAGGCAGCGTTAAGCTGGGTAGAACTACTCCCCCCCCCCATTTTTACATAGCGAAAGATATTTGAATTAATTACCATATTCCTGTGTCATCCAGTTCCAGGGGTGTGTGATGTGTCTTTCATTTTGGGTGGTACCTTTAAGAAAGCTTTCTCTTGCAGATAGATGGCCTGCCACCCCGGCTTTACAATGGCTGAATTCCAGTATCTGTTCCCCCATATCTTGGCCATATTGGATGACAGTCTGCTAGGGCAATTCTGTCAATTCTCCTTCCTTTTGAAGTTTAGAGTAAGACACCTTTCCATACCAACATATACTGCTCTCACAGAAGTTCATACGGAAATGCAGTAGAAGATGATTGTTGGTAACACCATCTCAAGCCATATGCCTCATCTGTATTGGCTTAAGGAAAGTGATAGGTGGTAAGCCCTTAATTCCTTATAAATGACAGTGGCAGACTGGTTTCATCTACTGACCAGGCCACTGGTTTGGCCTGGTAGGCAGAAAATATTAATACATAAACTTGTTCAAGGCAATTGGAATCAATCATGGTCAGACCACCCAATTAAACTTCCTCCTCTAAAAAATACAAAACAAAACAAAACTCTCCAAGGTTAGCAATGGGAAAAGAATCTCAAAATGGAACAGGGCAGCAAGACCACAAAGCTGGACTCTGATCCCCTGAGAGCCACCTTCCTTGTAACATGCCTCACTAATGGCTGTTGCCACCAAGTTGGCTGTTCCACCATGGGCTCTCTGGTCTGAGACTGAGTATATAACTCCTCCTTAAATGCCCCCCTTTCATAACTAAGACAAAGTTGAAATGCTTAACCCAGATGAAAGAAATAATAAGACAGAAATAGAAACATTAAACTCAATAAACTGCTTTATAGGCATGGCTCCTTCCCAAGTTCTTAGGTCCCTGTCATGCTTCATCTGCCATGCTGTTCCCAGAAACGGTCCACTTCTGCATGGACTTCCAAGGAACACATGGGTCTGTGTCTCAGCTCCTCAGAATGGCAGGCCTAAGACTGAATCTCAGAGAGATGAAGAGTTGACTGTGTATATAAGGCCCACCTACTAAGTTCTTGCTGAAGACATACCTGGCCTCTAACAGAATCTCACTGCAAATTAGATCATACATGATCACAGATACATGCACTTTTTTTTTTTACCTCTTGTTTCCTTTTGAAGTATTATTCATTCACCCCCTTATTCATTCAATCATTCAAAAAATATTTACTGAGTCCACTATGTCCCAGACATTGTGCTAAGACTACAGGGATAAAGAAAACAGCTCTAATCTCTTTCTTTATGGAGCTTCCAGGCTAAGGAACATATGCTTTAAAAATAGGCATTAAAGTGTTAGTATGTTTCAAGGACACACACTTAAATATTTATGAATGAAATGATGATGGGGGAATCATAAGGAAAATAGGTTAAATGAGTTTGGTGATGAGATGAGAATTGTTGAACGTAGGTAACAGGTACAGTGGGGTTCAATATATATTACTTAACTTCTGCAAGAGTTTAAATTTTCTAAAATAAGACAAAAGGTTAAAAAAAAAAAAAGAAGACTGCGTTGGTAGATGCTGGATGAATGAGAGCCATGGCCAATGGATCCAGATCAAATGCCCTACTCCGAGCTCTCAGATTAGACAATGTCAACACGAAGAAGTGTGAGGCTGGGATACTGACCGCATACACAGACTCCAAGAGATGCTCATTCTCGACGACAGTAAGAGGGTCTCCATCTCCTGGATAAGAGTTTCTTTCTGCCCTGAGGTAGAAAATGACAGGGAGAATGACCTGAACCTCACTTGACTCATTCCTGGTAGAACCAAGAATTTCTTTTATCTGAATGTCTGGCTGAACTACACCAGAAAGGGTCTATAAGTGGACTAAAGAAGAAGTAAGAATTATGCCTCATGTGAGTCTTTTCTTTTTTAATGTTTGTTTGTTTGTTTGTTTGTTTTGAGAGAGAGAGAAAGAGACAGAAAAACAGAGCATGAGCAGGGGAGGGGCAGAAAGAGAGGGAGACACAGAATCTGAAGCAGCCTCCAGCATCTGAGCTGTCAGTACAGAGCCTGGTGCAGGGGCTGGAACCCACGAACCCTGAGGTCATGACCTGAGTTGAAGTCGGACGCTTAACTGCCTCAGCCACCCAGGTGCCCCACATGTAAGCCTTTTTATAAAAATTAATTAAAACAGGCATTTGTCTGGACCAAAATTGAGATGGTTATTAGGCTTGTGCTAGAGTTTGGCATCAAAATATTATCAAGATGGTTGTTCCCTTGTTATAAGAATGATTGTGTAGGTCCCATGTTTACAGATGGGATGTGGCAGCCCAGAAGGTACAACACATTGCTCAGCCATCACTAGCTGTTATTCATAAGGAAAGGTGGGGAAGCAAACTGAGGAAAGGGAAGTGAAGGGGAACAAAACCAGTAGATGTTTAGGGCAATGCAGGAACGGGGAGTAAACTACATCCAGGACTTTGAACTACATAGGCCCAGAGAACAAGGGGGGCAGGGGTGGGGTAGGCAGGAGACAGATTCGTACCACACCAGTAGAAGCAAAGGGCAAGCGTGTGTGCAAGCACCAGGAACAGCAGGGCTGCAGAGGGGGCACAAGCACACATTTGGTGTGCACCTGCCGGTCCTGGAGTGCTTCGATATGTTGCCATAGATAAAACCAGGGCACCAAACTTCAGACATAAAACCTTGTGTGGGGGGAAAGTTATTGCGATTGCTGTCCTCAGGGCCTTTCTGGACTGGGGTAGCAGAAGCACAGTGACACTAAATGCAGTGCAGATCTCACAACATCTTCTCCTGCCTAAGATGTCCTTCTGCCCATTTCCAGCCTCCTCTTCCAGGAAGCCTTCCTGGATCATCCAAATTCTCAATCATTTCTCCCATAACACTTACCATCTGCATCATTCATTTGACATCCATCATTTATTACTTTAGGAGATATAAATATACCTCATACACACACACACACACACACATACACACATCTATAACTATACATCTATACACGTATACCTGCACACATATACATAATGTACTTTTATCATCAGGCTATAAAATCCAAGAGAGAAGAGACTATATCTGATCTGCTAACCACTATAATCCAGTCCATGTATCCCAGTACAAGGGCCGGATATGAGAGCAGTTCAGAGGTGAAAACACAGAATTCAAAGTTAGAACTCCTACCTTTTAGTCCTTGTTCTGCAGTTCACCAGAGGTCTCATTCTGGACAAGTCATTTAACCTTTCTAGGCCTTACTTTGTCCTCAGAAAAAGAGGTTAAAAAATACTAATACCTCTTCACACAGTTCTCAGGAGCAGCAAGTTAAATCGCGAATTTGGAAGCACTTTGTAAAGCACTATCCAGATTTAGGATAATGTTATTATTCTGCTCTGAGTTTTGATCTAGATTCTTCCATTTAATGGCGATATAACCTTGGGTAAGTTCTTCAATCCCTTTGCTTCTTCGTCTATAAACTGGAAATACAATGACTAAGTTGTAGGATTGTTATAAGAATTAAATGAAACCACATATATAACGTGGCTAGCACGGCACATGACATCTAGGACTCACTCACAAGTGTTGGGTCCTTCCCCATCTTTCCAAGTATATTAGACCTTCTGTGTTGTGCCCCTAATAGTGCCCTGCACACAACAGAAGTGCAAGGAGTATTTCCTCTTCTTGATAAAGCTGCTAATGATAATGGTGCCGCTGATGGTTGATAATGACTATTGGTGAAGACCACTTAATGATCAGCTAATGACCAGCAAAGCTGATTTGAATGCACCTTGAGCCATGTACTCCCCCCCGACCTCTCCTTTAGGACATGTGGGGTGAGGGTGGGAGGAGGCCTCCAGTCTGGCAGAGGCCCCTTTAAAAATGTACCCGGGCTCCTCCTCTGCCAACCAAGTTGCTAAAAATACTACTACAGCAAAAGCTGAAATATTTGCAGAGAAAACTGAATTTCCTGCTACCCCCACCCCCTCCATTCAAATGGGTGAAATCCTGACCTAAGAAGCCCCCAGATCATCTCCACTGAAGGCACAGGCCTCCTACTTTCCACCCCCATCTTACCACGGAGTCCCTCTGTGGGCTTAAGCTGGGATATGATGTTCAGAAAGTGCCCACTCCAAGGAAGGGAAGCCACAAGTATTGGCAAATAGCTTGCCATGTGTCTTGGCTTTTCTCTCTGCTTATGAGGACCAAGTCTCTCCAAATCCCCCACCATCTGTCCCCAGATGGATCTGTATTGGACCCCGGAAGCTTCCCACTAATCCATCTCTTTTCTTTTGTCTAAAATCTCTTCCTTTGCTGGCCTCGGCTTCTATTTCGTGCCCCCCCCACCTCCATGCTCCCTGTTAGAAACAGCCCACCTCACCCCCATGCCCCAGCTCCCTCTCTAACCTGGCCCTCCGGAGCTCATCTCATTTCCAGGCCTGCAGTCCCTCTCCTTCAAGAGCTGTGGGGGCCGCCGAAAATAGAGAAGAGTTTATGAAATTCGAAGAGTCAAGGAGGACAGACAGGGCCCATATCCAGCTGGTAAATAGGTGGCACCCCAAAAGATGACATTGGCACCCAGGTCCTAAGCCCAGGCAGGCACGAGGGTCTTCCGGCACTGCTCCGCCAAGCTCTCAAGCTTTGCAGAGTGAGGCAGCCTGCTCCTCAAAGCAGCCAGACCCAGGCCTTCCACACAGCTCCTGTCCCTTCTCTGAGCTCATCTATTCGAAAGAAAAGCAGAGGCTCAGAGTTCCAGCCAGCCCGTCTTGCTGACAAACTCTGGCCACCTAGTCCAAAAGAGGAACCCCTTACCAAAAAGAATCATGTGCCCTCGATGCATGATAGTGAAGGGGTCCACTTCTGCGCATATCTTTGGATGGCAGTGGGTGGCAATGTGCCCACAGCATGTATCTCTGTGGATGTGTGAACAGTGTGTGTTTCTGTGCCTCTGGGTCGGGGTGTGTGTCATTTAAATGAGGCTGTACGCGGTGCTGCTCCTGCCTCTGGATTATTTGAGTCTGTCTTTGATTCCCGTCCTTGCCTTTCTCTGTCTACCTTTTCTTTACCTCAGAGACTGCCCATCCCCCAGGGCAAGCACAGTGGCCAGTTCCGCGTAGGCGCCTCAAGTGGGCTGTTGATGAAATGCTTGTTTTGCGGATGGAACTGACAGTTGCCATTTCTGCTCTTCCACCGCCGCCAGTGTTCAGAGACGCCCTCACCCCACACAAGGGCGTCTTAGGAAGAGGGAAGGGCTGGGCTGCCTGTGTGGGAGTTTAGGGGGGGGCATGTTGTAAAGATACTCCCCCCACCTCCAGCTCTGACCAGCAGGAAGAAGGGCCCAGAGGCAGCGCAGCCTGCAGAGGGATGTTGCCTAGCAACTTGGGAGACTTTACTGCAAACTCGCTAAATCCCGAATTCCTCGGCTCTAATTTGGGAAGAGAAAAGCACAGAGTCCAGGCCTGATACCCATTCTATCCCCAATTTCCTCCTTCCCTTTCCCCTCTGGATTCTGAATTTGAAGTTCAACAAGAGCTGGCACAAACCAAGGCCCCAGATGTGCCCGTGATTTAGGCAAGGGACTGAGTTCCGGGACATCCTGCCATTTGGTGGAGGTGGGGGGGATCGAGGATGTGCCAGAGACAGACTGGGGAACAGATTTTCAGTTACAAGGGTGGGTGGGTCCCAAACATGCTGGGAGAGACACCCCTATGCCCCAAACCCTGGAATCCCGGCCAGCTTCCAGCCTGGTTTGGGAGCCTAAGCTGACTAACCCCATTCCCATCATGAGTGGCCACCAGAATTTCCCTCCCACTCATTTTCCCTTTGGCAAACAGAGCCTGTAGCCCAAACATTCAGGTAGGAAGGAAAGCGTGCAACAGCTATGCTATGAGTGGCCAGTGGCTGTGGATTCACTGCAGTGCTGTTTTAAGATCCCCTCTCCCAACCAGAACCACAGGGCATTTTCCCCTCCTTGCCCGCTTCAGTTATTGAGCCTGAGCAACAGCCATCCTTTCTTTCCTTCCCTCCTCTGGGAGCTTAGCTGAGAAAGACTTTCTTTCTACTTTCCTCTGAGATGGCCCACTCTATCCATTTAACAAGCCACACTGCCAGCTCCAGTACCCTGACTGGCTAGGGGACACTGGCCACCACAATCCAGTCAGGCTGCTGCTCCACAATTCTCCTCCCCTATCTCCTTTTCCCAGCCTCTCACAAAAGCCCACATCCTTCCTCCACCACAGACCCCAGAAGACAACGATTTTTTTTTATATTTCCCAATACTAGGGTTTAGGGTATTTTTCTACCTCCCAGGCAAGGTGAGAGTGGCTTTTTTGTTTTATTCTGAAGCAAGATACCAAGAGGTTAGGGAGATTCTAGTATGGGAAGGGAAGGATGTTTCTCTGAAGCCAGTATCTATGCATAAATATATACATTAGATAGATGATGGATGATTGATAGGTGATAGATAGATAGATAGATAGATAGATAGATAGATAAGGATGTAATGCAACATCTCGGATAGGGTGACTACCCCTGTGTCCTACGTCTGCATGCACACGTCTGCATTTATCTGCACAGCGTGTGTGTACAAGTTCTGTGCAATTATTTCTGTACGTTGTGTCTGTAGAATCTGTTGAAGAAGTGCACATTTTAGTGAGCCCGGGCAGTATCATATATGCACATGTGGGGCTTGTGAGCTTTTGTGTTTATGTGTGCTCATCCCCAGGTTATGTATCAACAGCTTTCTTGATTCCCTAGCAGAGTGATGATGGGACTTTTTAAACGCACGTCTTAGGGGGCTTTTTTATGAGGACTGGCGGGGGTGAGGGGAGGAGGAGTTAGAGCGAGCCATATTTGGGACTCTAGCTAAGTTGTGCAAGTGTGGGGAGGTGGGTGAGAGGTGCGTGGTTTTCTACATATGGGTGGGAGAGGTGTTGTGCCCAGATGTGAGTGTATTTGTGCCCGGGTAGTCGGGGGCCTCCTTCTGCCCGCGGCGGCATACATCTGCCTGGCAGTCTGCCGCCTCAGCAAACAAGGGGGTTGAGCTTGAGAAGCTGGGGTGTGTAGGAGGAATGGATGGAAGTGTGTAGGCGGAGGGGTTGGGGCTGGAGGGGGAGGGAGGCGGAGGGAGCAGAGAGGGGGCGTGGTCCTCCCTGCAATATCCCCGCCCGCCCTGCCCAAGGCTTATCCTGATTGGCTTCTCGACCGAAGGGCTCAGGTTACATTCGCGAGCAGAGCGGAGCGCGGGAGAGAGGACCCGAGAGCAGAGCGGCTGTTTCGACGCTGGTCAGCGGGCGCCCCAAGGCCCCAGAGTCCCCACCCAGACCCCACCCCTGCCCTGCGCCAGCCTGTGCCCCAGCCAAGGACCCCCAACACCAGCATGGACTGCTGCACCGTAAGTTAGAGGGCCGGGGGGACCGGCACTCTGCCTGATCTGGGGCAAGGGGTCCCCCCCCCCAGAGGGAGAGTAAGGGATGGAAGTGCATTTGAGGGTGCAGAAGACCCAAGAGCCATGGGGGTGCCTGCTGAGACGTGGGTGGTGGGTGGTGGAAGGCACTCGCCTGACTTGGAGCCCTAGGAAAAATGCTCCCCAACTCGCGGGGGCGTCTGGGCGCCCAGCCGCCAGGCAGCCTAGGTTGGAAAGAGAACCCGGCAGGGCTCTGCAGCAAGGAAGCTGCAGGTTAGACGAGAAGAGGAACTTCCTCCAGAGAGGCGCTGTAAACTGTAGCGAAGCTGCGGCGACTCCTTTCGGTATCCTTTCCCCCTGGCTTTTGCCCTCGCCCCGTTCCCCATCCCACTGCCACCGCCGTGGGTGGGCAGACGGGATGATCTCCATGACCCTCGTGCACTGTACAGAGCAGGATGGGACAATCGTTCATATCGGTTAGCTCAGTAATGATGATGGGCAGCAGAGAGCCTAGTCGGTTGGTTCTGGGGAGGGGTTGGCCCGTCCCCCAACGCCTTCTAGCCCTGGAAGGGGGCTGGGTGAAATGACCGCGAGAGAGCCCTGCTGGCGAGGGAAGGAAGTGTCTGCAATTTGTCAGCGCCCACGGAGACCTGGATGCGGCAAGTGCCTAATGCCAAAGTAGGTTGCTGTTAAGGTGACTTGGGTATGAAGGCGCCCGGCACAGGACCTGGCTCCCTGCACACTAGAGGAATACAGTGATCATGCGTATATAAAATGTGTTTATTTTTTTTAATTTTTAATTATTATTTATTTTTAGCCCCTATCTATGGAGAAAGACCACTCCAAAGCCCTTGCCTTCTCTGTCATTCAGTCAACCCGGCTAATGATAAGGTTATGACTTTGCCTGCCCCCCACCCTCCACACTACGGCTTACAAAAGAAAAAAAAAAGTGAGGTTTGGAAGGAAAGAATAGCCCAGTTTATAAGAGGTGAGACGTCGTACCAAGAGGCAGAAAGAACTTAGGGACAAATTGTTGTGTTAGTTATTATGATTTAATAATATCAGTAATATTTGTCACTTTGTGAATGTTTGCCATGTGCCTGACTTTATATTT